TTCTGGAAGGAGGGAGCCCATGTTGTTCTAAATTAAACACTGATTCCCCTGAGAAGTCCAATAGGTCCAGTGGAAAATATAAGCATCTAACGTTTCTATGGATGTCAGCTATCATAGCAAGTCTGTTTCCTATTTCAATTAATATTTTGCATAAATCAGTGTTTTAGTAAAATAAGCAACACCACACTGAAAAGACCACAAGGCAACTGTAATTAAGCTATATGTTTAATAATGTGCTGAACAAACAATGGAAAAATTTACTTTTTGGTTACTAAATCAATTGTAATCAACCTCTGCCCGCCCACTCATCCACCTTTATGAGTGAATAATACAGCTGTAGATATCAGGAACAAGTCCAGCAACTAAATTAACAAAGCAAAATTGGTGGTTCAGCTACATACATCGGCATGAATGTATTGCTCCCTACAGCTTTATCTCTACAAACATCTTTTATCTCCCAGAGGGCACTTTAAAATCCATACTGTTAAAATAAATATTAAGAAATTGCTCAGCATTATAATTACAACATCATTTAAGAATTTCTCTGCCTTTTGCCAAATGGGTTGAAATATGATGGATTATTGTTAACAAATTGTTTATCTCCAATAGTCAAAGACAACCTATGGGCTAGTATTTGCTGTCAGGCAGCCTGTCAAGCTTACAGTGATCGTCTGAGAGAGGGTATTTGTAGAATGGTGACTGCCATCACATGGTGTGGGATAGCAGGTCACTGTGATTCTGCCACTTCAAGGTAAATGCTTGATAGTATAGGATAATCTTTCATCAAACCGTCCCTCATAGATGTGGGCAGAGGAAAGGCATTTCCTGCCTACCAGAGTAAGGGTGAAGTTGCAAGGGATCTGTCTAACATTTTCTGGAGCCTGAAGCCAAAAATTGCATTCTTGTTAGCTTGGCAACGGGTCATGGTGACGGGCTGTATCACAGGTTCCTCCCAAAAAGGAGTGATGATGATAACTAGGAAAGCATGAAAAAAGTGCCTGCTCCATGTCCCTGTGTCCACAGTAATGAGCATGGCAGCATCCTGGGCTCAAGGCAGCCCCACTGTGCCTGTCTGGGAGCCAATGTGAACAGAACTAGAGCACACAGAACCCTGATTCATTTTAGTGTGTGTAACACAGACATGGGCGGAATATATACACAGGCCTTTATAACCCTTGGGATCTGCAACAAGGGGATGTCAGCTCAATTACCAATGGCTCTGGTTTGGTTATCCTGCAAACTGCAGTATTCATGTATGGCAGGAAGTGTCTGGGAATTTCAGGTGAAGTGCACACAGATAATGTGTTTAATGTTTTTATCTTATTAACCTGTAATTATTAGTCAGTGGACAATTTAAGGAGCTAAGTGCTATTTAACAATAAAGGACATTTCCTTGCCAGCTATTTAATAGTCTTCAAAGAGTGGACATGGCTTATGGGCACGAAAAAGAATGAAAGGAAGAAGCAAAAATATCTAATTCCTGGGTTGAAATTCCCTGGAGGTGTTTGTCCAAAGAAGGGAAAATTCAGATCTCCAGAGCTTATCCCTAAAGAGAATGTAAAACCGCATTACTTTTCTGTTTCTTATATAAAAGATTCCAGTAATCAGGATTTCCTAGATAAAGGTCCTAGAAAGAAGCTATATCTTAATTTTTGCTGGCTTCCCACAGAGTAGTGATTATTAAATCCAATAAATACTTCCTACAAATATATATATATATTTGCAATGCTGAAAGTAGAATTCTAATTTTAAGAAAAAAAGCTTTACAGCTTTACTCTTAGTCTATAAATATTAATAAAATAATTTCTAGTAGAGCCTTTTGAACTTAGAAGATATTTAGAAAGTATGCAATTATTACATAATGAAATCAAGAGTTTGAAGGGAGACAAACCCTGAAAAAAAATTCAAGTTTACTTGGAAGATTCTGATACGTATCTTCAGTGATTTTTAAAAACATTTTGGCTTCTAAGTTACACTGGTGCCTTGATGATATTGAAAATCTTGAGTGTTGAGTTTTGCAGCATTAACAGTTAAAGACTGCTAGTGGCTTGATCAAAACCACAAAAACTAGTGAGAACTTAAGAGCTGGAAATGGAAGTCCTTATTTTCATTTTTAAAATTATTCTGCCGTAACCGACCTGTGTGCATTGGACTGACTTTGTTCCAGCTTTATTTACTCCATAAATATACAAATGGCGTGATATGCCAGTAGGTCCAGCTTTGAATATTCAGAGAAATTGCACTATCGGATCTGTGGATGATGATGAGATACTAGGCACAGGCCTCACAGGACCTTATATATCCAAGTTAGCTGAAAAGCCAACTGCAGCAGCAAGCTCATGTCTCCTGCACCTGCTTTGAATGTTTGGTGATAGCAGCTACAGTAGTACCTAGATAAAAACAACATTAAACTATAGAGAAACCACAGTAACATTGAAGAGTTGTCAGTGGCTGTGGCTGCAGATCTGCAGTGGGAAGTGGAATGGGACAGGTGTCCTACAAAAGCCCAATTATTTCTTTCAATGCTTTATAATAAGGTAATCAGAATAATATAGGGTATGAAAATAATTCTGGCATCAAAACATGTTGCGGTGCATTGTTGTTCATTATATTCGATTCAATTACATTCTTTATTGTTAAGGTGTACCCCCNTCCCCCGCCAGGCCGCGGGGGAGCTGGGCCAGCCACACCAGAGTTCTGTCACCTTTCAAAGCTGGGAACAAAGAGAGACAGAAATTCCCAGGCTTAGATTTAAAAGGTGGTATTCACAAAGGTGATCTTACTTTTCAGTGGTCCAAAATGCTGTCAGTTCCAAGAACTGGCCAATGATTCTTCTTCTCAAGCAGAGAAGAAACGCCCAGCAACTTCTCTCAAAGCCCTCACTTCTGTGTTTTCTACATTTTTTTCCTAAATGCCAAACCATCTCAGGAACCAAGACCTGTTGCTTTGCAAGAGTAGCTCAGTCCTAAGTTCCATACACCTCAGGGTATGGAGCAAACTGAGCACGACGATCTCTATGGTAACCAAACTGCTTTTATTCTTTTTTTTTACCCAGGAGACTCCTTTTAAAATATAGATGTTTAAAGCACATTTCACAGTCTGGTTTTGAAAATACGGATGGAAATAGAAAAGCTTTACTTAGCACTACTTAAATAACAACAAAAAAATCCTTACAGCATGACGACATGTCCCTTGCCCACTCTCCAAAAATAGCCCAACAATCAAATGTCAACAAGTCACCACAATCTGAAAAAAGTAACGTCAAGTCATGTATTTTACAGCAATCCTAGGGGAATATTATGCCTGGAAGGATACCCTCTTGTGTCTTGAGTAATTCTGTAGCTTTTTTAAATAATCCCAAAATTCAGACCTCAAGGAAATACTGACCACCATTCTTGAGCTTCTCATTAATAGGACATAAATTGGTTTCTTCTTTCTAACTTTTAGTTTAGCTTTAGAGAACACAACTAAAATGCTAGCAGAAATTTTAAGAGCGGTAGGTAATATTTTCAGGCTGCCACTATCACAAATAAATACAAGTTCCATAGTTTGAGAAAATACGTAGTTCATTGAAGGTTGTCACCACTCTGCATTCCTGCAGGTCATCTCTACACTGCATTCATATCCCTTTGAAAATGACATAACCTTCAACCATTTTCAGGTGAACATTTTTCCATGTCCTACCCTACTTCAATAATCTCACCAACCCATCAATATTTCTTGAGAGATCTGGAAAGCACAGACCATAACAGTTCTATTCCAGGCTCTCCTAATTTCATCTAAATACAAAAATTTTGAGATGGTTTGTAGGTTTTGCACATTTTCTCCACTTGAATTATAATGGATCTACCACCTTGATGTGCTTAGACTAATACCATGGAAGTTTTCAAAATCTTTAATGTAGCACCTTATCATGTATATACATCATGATGATCAATGGATGAGGGTATTGAGTCTTTCATTAGTGAATTTGCAGGCGACACTAAGCTGGGAGTGTGTGTTAATCCATTGGGAGGTAGGAGGGCTGTGCAGAGAGACCTGGAACTGTTGGATGGATGGACAGTGTCCATAGGATAAAGTTTAACAAGTCCAAGTGCCAAGTCCTGCATTTTGGCCACAGTAACCCCCTGCAGTGCTATAGGCTGGGGACGGTGTGGCTGGACAGTGCCCAGGCAGAAAGGAACTGGGGGTACTGGTGACAGCTGGCTGAACATGAGCCAGCAGTGTGCCCTGGTGGCCAAAAAGCCAATGGCATCCTGGTCTGGATCAGGAATAATGTGACCAGCAGGGGCAGGGAGGTCATTCTTCCCCCGTACTCAGCACTGGTGAGGCCACATCTCGAGTGCCGTGTCCAGTTCTGGCCCCTCAGTTTGGGAAGGACGTTGAGACGCTTGAGCACGTCCAGAGGAGGCAACGAGGCTGGTGAGGGGCTTGGAACACAAACCCTATGAGGAATGGCTGAGGGAGCTGGGGTTGTTTAGCCTGGAGAAAAGGAGACTCAGAGGTGACCTTACCACTCTCTACAGCTTCCTGAAAGGTGGCTGTAGTCAGGTGGGGGTCGGTCTCTTTCTCCAGGCAGCAACTGACAGAACGAGAGGACACAGTTTTAAGCTGTGCCAAGGGAAATATAGGTTGGATGTTAGGAAGGTTTTTTACAAAAAGGGTGATAAACTATTGGAATTGTCTGCCTGGGGAGGTGGTAGAGTCACCATCCCTGGATGTGTTTAAAAAAAGACTGGATGTTGGTGCCATTGTCTAGTTTTTAGTATTAGGGCGTGGGCTGGACTCAGTGATCTTGGAGGCCTCTTCCAACCTAGTCATCCTGTGAATTCACAAAAAAATTGTTTTATGCTGTTTATTCTCTCAGACCACTGGGAGGTGCTTTTTTTCTGAAAAATATTTACATACTTTGTAAATTGAATGATATAGCTGAAAACAATGTTGGTGGAAAACCATGCCCTTCTGTGATATGTCTGAAAAGTTCACTTGTTCTCTTCCAGCTGAACACTATCTCAGTAGCAGTAACTACATGGACTGCATTTCCTCGCTGACAGGAAGCAATGGCTGTAACCTCAACAGCTTGTTTAAGGGATCTGACCTGCCTGAGCTCTTCAGCAAGCTAGGTTTGGGCAAATATACAGATGTATTCCAGCAGCAAGAGGTTGGTGTTCCTTCAAGAAGCACCTTTGTGTTGGTAGGATGTTTTCCAGCACTAATTGTGCTGTCTCTTCACTACAGGCCACTTAGAACTCACTTTGTGACAGGATTTTCATGAGCTGTTCTTTCAAAGCTGGATCATATATCTTAAAATTGGGATAAATACTCAAAATCTCAAGACTAATTGTATATTTATAAATAAGACTCATTGATTTTCTCTGCTTTTCAAGAACTGACAACTTTTTAATTTCTACTTTTCTGTCAGAACTGTAGCAAATTGAGCAACTGTGTGAAGAAGATATTGTAAAGCCATGATTGCTGTTTACATGCAAAGAGTAGTTCGCATGTAAAATGGAGCAGGGAAAAAAAATGAAGCTGTTCTGAACCACATTTATTACTTAATACTTTTGTGGAAAGACTTGTTTTGCATAGTTTTCCAATTTGTTTTTACTCTAGATTGATCTGCAGACATTCCTCACTCTTACGGATCAAGATTTGAAAGAGTTGGGAATTACCACTTTTGGTGCCAGAAGAAAAATGCTGCTTGCAATCTCAGGTAAAAAACATGGAATACCATTTATTGATTTTAAGCATTGCTTGTATTCTTCTCACTCAAATTTTATGTTTATAGTCAACAAAGGAAAAGAACCTTGGAAAGACTGAAAAGTAGTGTACAGAGGTAATATTAGCTTGCCCTTCACCAGAGGTACTTAAACCCAGGCTTTATAGAGCTTTCCTATTACCTAATTAGCAGCTCACTTGCAATAGTCCTGTAAAGCTGGAGCCTGGTAGAAAGTTCATCTCACACCAGATTGTGAAGTTTTATGCCCCAAAATTGTGGGTTCAGGAATCTCTGGGATTACAGAGCACTGCAAAGTCTGAACAGCACTACATACCAATTACAACTGGTATTTCAACCTTTTGGTTCTTTGTTCTCCATTTTATTGATTAGCAGAGCAGTCATCCTACTGGAAAAAGTGCCTACTTTTGGGGGGCTTTGTGATTTGGGTTTTTTTTTATTTGTATCTAGCACAGTTTGTTTACAAGAACAGGAAAGTAGAGAAAAGAAAAATATTTTATGTGATTTATTACTAATATGAGATTAAGGTGCACATTTAAATGAGAAGTGAGCATCTGTTGTTTCTGAAAGTCCTTATTAAAATACTGCTTCAGTTTTATGCTTAAAATAAAGAATTGTGCATTGAGAAATGATCAAGTTGGTAAAGAGCTTTTCTGTCAATCTCAGTCTACACTGCATGGTTGTGCCTCCAGTAAGATTGCAGTCTTTGAGTATTATAACAGAAACTTTTAAAAGTTTCAGCTATGTCAATTTGATCTAAATCAATATTGCAAAAAATTAGATATTTTACAGTGTATCAGTGCCAAATAAGAATTGTCCCAAGTAGATACCTTCATCCCAAGGAGCTTCTGAGTCTTAACCTGATGCTCTTATTATCCTGTTGGACTGTTTGTTAATTGAAGGAGTACCTCAGATATTTTCAGTGCATACTGTATCTGTCTAAAATACATTGTTTGTTTAAACAGAAGCTTTGCATTTGGTTTAGATCAAAACATTAAAATTAATTTCTGATGGGAGATGTCTGTGGGTGTGCTTGACCTCTCCAGAACTGAACAAAAACCGAAGAAAGCTCTTTGACCCGTCAAACATCCGTGCCTCGTTCCTGGAAGGTGGAGCCAGTGGGAGACTGCCACGCCAGTATCACTCGGACATTGCCAGTGTCAGCGGGCGCTGGTAGCAGGAGGTTGGGCTCAGAAATCAGCTGGAAAGATGGACATGGCAATCCTGTGGACAGCCTTCACTGCACACCACCCTCTGCACTTTGGGAGTTTAGGTGTCAAGGACCAAAGCGTTTTGTATGCACAATACTGTGCCAAAAAATCAGAGAGAACACATTTTGTCAGTTGTCTTTTGAAACACCAAATGTGGGTTATGTTTTACTCATATAGATTGGACAGAATTTGCAATAATAATAATATAGGGTTCTTTGTTTAGTATTTTATTACCTATAACTATAATGTATGCACTGAATTTTGTACTTTGTTGAATGAAGGAGGAATGAGGAGCTGGGATGCCAGAGAGCATAGATTTGGCTTTATCAAGATGGATTCTTCTGGTACTGCTTAAAATAATTATTGAGGTCTTTCTGCACTTTACATGTTCTGATTTCTTGTCCTGTGGAAATCTATTTCTCTTTCATTTCCATATCAATTTTTATATTGGCACTAATCAAAATTTTTCAGGTGTTCCTACATTGTCACATCTCACTATAATGGTACTAGAAACTGGTTCTTAAGTAGATTTTTCTTTTTCCTCTCTGTCTCCCAGGTAGTTATCTGAAGAGATTGTTCCAAAATCAAGTCACCTGGTAGTGGACCTGTCCTATTATACTCTTATGAAGCAGTCTAATGCTGCCTGCAATAATACTCACTGTAACAAATGCAATGAAAGACCAAAATGGACCTTGCAATATTAACCCTTTGCAGTCCACATATTTAACTGCTGCCTTTATGCTGAAACTGTTTTTAATGGTTGTCTCAAAGCAAAGGGCTATTTTTAGTACCCTGCCACTAAAGGACACTTATTTATATCAGACTTTTATTTTTAGATTCTATACACCTACAATATGTAACGAATTAAACTGATCTACTGCAGATTTATGGTAGAGACCAAAAGGCATTCATCAAACTAGAGCTCTAGGCTGTCAGTTTGATTAAACAGACAACTAATCTAATTTGACAAGACAGCACTGTTGCCATTTAATAAATGACACATATTACTTACATGACTATGCATGCAGCAGTGAAATGACCTACATAAAATAGGTGTAATAGCATCTGTTTTGTTCAATCTAGATTTGTAATTGTGAGCTGCAGAAGTGTTTGAAACTCTGGAGTTGAACTGTTTCTGAAACAAGTTATGTTCAACAGAACGAGTCCATATTATAAGTGGCTAGAGCTAAATTTTGCATTATTACACTGTGAAAGTCCGAAAGATTTGGCAATGTTATTCCTCTGTCTTTACAGATGTTGTGTTATGAGTTTATGAAGGGTTTCAATGAATGAAGGAATCCATAAAGTGCCTCTTTTTGCAATGCAATATATTGTTTCCAAGCATTAATTGAAAAGCATTCCCATGAGAAATATTGTGAATTACCTTACCTCTACTGTAATGTATTATTTATGTTCACTATACAAGCCTTTTGAGATGGACATAAACCACTGTCAAGTGCTCTTAACAGAAGGCATTAGAATAGCTTTTACAGTAGTTGGGGTTTATGCAAAAGTGGGTGAGAGAGTTTTGACACTTTCCATGGGTAATTCTTTCTTTTAAGGTGAGAATGCAAAATGATGTATGGAGAAAATTGCGTACACAAAGGGAATTTAAAGAGACTTCAGGGCATAGATGATCAAGCAATAATATAAAGTCTTGTGGCTAGCTAAAAATTGCTGCTCAGTGCTCATTTCAGCCATATCTACTTAATGGTGTATAACTGGGTGACTTCTCCTGTAGATCAAGTAGCAGCATCATCTGATTTTAAAATGGTTCTGCAGATGTGACTGGCTGAAACTGTATCTGGTACTCACAGTTGTTCACAGCAAGAGCAACTTCATGGAAACACTCTTGGAAGCCACAACTTTTCATTCTAAAGCTATTTACACTTGTGCTTTCTTCTAAGCATGCAGATAGTTCTATTCACATGGACTATTTATGTGCTTACAGATAAGCTGTTGTTTAAATGTTCACATTTGCAAGCCCAGTGCTTGCAAATCAAATTGTATTGAGACTCATTATTTTATAAAATATTTTTAATGAACTAAATATTCAACAACACTGTGTACGGATTTTTCTGCAGCCCCTTCTTGCTTATTTTGCCTAAACTTAAAAGCATCCAAAAACCTTGCACTCAGATTTTTAGTCTTTTGTAGGTACATGCTATGCATCCAGACGGTACTATACTCAAAAACTGATTTTCTTACAGTATTAAGTGGATGTGGTCTTTTGCTGAGCAGTGCTTATTTCATCTACACCAAAATGAAGAATTTCCCATGAGCAACATTATTTTTCAGTAGGGCTTCACATAAAAAAAACCAACCCAAAAAACCCACAAAAAAACACACTGGAAATAAAGAAAATTCTCACTTACTTTGATTCCACAAAGGGAATATAACAGTACAGTGTATCATATTGTTAGTGTTACATTATGCACAAATATTTGACTTGCTACATCAAATGTTAGTTTTAAATCTGTGCCTTAACAGTGACCAGTTATCTGTAAATATAGAGCAGATACAGATTGTATTTTTGTGGGTTGTGTCCTTTTAGTGATTTTTTTTAAAAAATGAAAGTTGAAATTAAAACATAAAAAATGGAAATTTTCAAAACTAATCAGTGTTGCATAAAATAAATTTATATAACTCCCTTGTATTCTGATTGGTTCATGAAGTATTTTTATATCGACTCAGTTCCAGGGATGCTTGCTTGTTAATAAAATATAAAAAGCAGTATTTGACATAATGACAACATGTTTCTTTCACATGTTAATGCTTCATGTGTTTTACTATTCTTTTTGTTTCACATACAGTGTCTTTGACTTTTAAGTGAGAATGCTTTTCTGGGGTGCCTCTCCTTAATCTAAGAAGCAGTAAAATATCACAGATTCAGTTCTTGGCAGGTTTTAGTGGTTTGGCTCACAAGTTCTATTCTTTGGTCTTCCCATTTTAATGACTGTTTTGGTCAGGTTAGCAGAGAGTTGTGTGGTTTTTTATGATGGTCATTGTACTGTCACTTCCACTGTAGAAGTACGAGGGAAGGAAATTCTTTCTTAAAGCTGCTGGGACATGACCAGTCAGCCTGGCAAGAGGCACAGCTGCCACACTGAGGTGATGTGCACACAACAGACACAGTCAGTCCTGTCTGTTTGCTCCACAGCTGCTGCTACAGGTTCAGTATTGCTCTACCTCACTCGGTGCTCTCGGGCATCTCATTATCCCGAGATACAGCATGGTCTCTGTTTTATAGACACAGCTCTCCAATGGCTATTCCTGGCTCACTGACCGTGCAAAACTCAGAGTTGTTTTTCTGAATACCTCCTGAGAAGTGCAGATGTGGAAACAAGTTTGTGAAGGAAAGAGATCAACAAACTGTTCTGCTGAGGACAACTGAAGGGTGTGGTTCTAAGCACCAATTTACTAGGCATTGATATAAATTAAGTGGAAATTTACAGGCAGGTGGGCTTGCAAATTGCACAGTGTTTCTGATGTCTGACCTATAGTGAACTAGGAGGGTCTGAAGCAAGGTAGTTTCCTTTGTGGACCATTTATTTGGGCATATTGCTTCCAACAGCTTTAGTCAGCAGAGTGTAAAACTGGTGTGGGACAGAAAAGGAGGCGATGGAGCATTAGAGCTTGTTGACTGCTCTCCTTATAGTGCAAGCAACGTTCCCAGCAGCTGGCATGGTACATCATCAACAGGATTGCTCCCTGAACAAACTGGGCATATCTCTCTCTGCTACCAGTCAGTGGAAGGAAACTAGTGATTTTCAGTCTGAATAAAAAGTTGCATTGTAAGAAAAGTTGCCAATACACAAGAAAAAATAGGTGGAGTCTCCAAGCTCTGGAAAGATTAAAAGTGAGGGATCTGTCTTTACATTTGAATCCTATTCCAATCTAACAGTTGCTGGAGGACTTTACACAAGTTTTATGAGTACTGTTGTAAGCTGGTCAGTACAGGTGTGATGGGCAGGAGTATTCAGAAACTTGTGCTCCTACTGTAAGAAAGCCAAGGAGTATTTGATTCCAGGCAAGTCTGGACACTGTTGGAAATACTTTTTATCCTTGAAGAAATAGCTTCCTTTGTATCACAGATACTTGAGCAGAAGGAAGCTTTGGTTTTATTTGGAGTTGCTACAAAATTTTTGAGGGTGTCAGAAGATGCAAAAACTGGGGAGCTTGTAGAAAAATCTGCCATATGCATGGTTGGTGTCTGTTATGTTGTTGAGAGCTGCTTTGAAAGCGGTGAGCTGTAAGAATGTTTGAGCGGGTAGGGGGAGGTATTTTAGCATGGTTAAAGATGAAAGAGCTCTTATTTTGAATTAGGTGTAGTTGTGAGTAAGGGCTATCTTGTAATCTGAAGAGCACACAATAAACTTGTGCTTTGGTATAAAATTCCTTTATTTTTTATTTGGGTTAAGATAGCATCTGAAGCGGAAGTAACAAGAATCCAGAAATTACTTAAAGGGTTTTTGTAGATTATATATTTGTATTAAGGAAAATTTGAGTTTTGTCTTTGTTTCCTGTGCTGCAGATGCACTTTTTTATAGTGTTTATAATTTTAATATTTTACATGCTTTCATGAGTTAGTAAAGCAGACCTAAAAAATAAAAGTAGTAGAACAGTCATACTTTACAATTTTGAATATTGACACAGCTATTAGGAGCAGTTAAATGTTGATAAAGATAAATTTTTCCTCTTACTTTGAACAAAGTGTGCTTTTAAAGAAACAGACTCAAACAATGTAGAAAGTTATTGCATTAGAGCATCATCTAGAGTCAAATTTCCCCACTCACTTAAGGAGTAAGATTTGGGGAATATTTTCTCTGAGAAACGCAGAATGATTCCAGATGTTGATGAAAATATGAAGAAAGATGAATATATTGTGATGGAAATTACCCAGTTTGTGCCAAAACTGTGTCGCAACTTCATGGAAACTAACAGATGGAAAAAGCAAAACATAATATGTGAAAATAAAAAACCCTAAAATAATTATATAATGAAGTAAAAATTTGTCACTTCTAACAATGGATGATTAATGTTTTAGGAAATAATGTTGCTACTAATTTAATAATTCTAGAACCATAAACTGATATGGATGTTGCTACACTTCTTTGCTGTGATAGAAATCATGGTTTGTCACCCATGAAGGACAAAAGAGTTGAAGAGGCCTGAAATGCACATGGCAATAATTTATGGTCCCAAAACTAAAGCCATCCATGGGAACTGTAATCTCATGCAGCATACATACAAGATAGAAGTGAAGAGGATATGAGTATTTTTGAGGTTGAGAACATAAGAAACCTTCTGTAGACAGTAAATTCTGCTGTATACTACACATGAATATACTAAGAGAAAACAAAATGGAACCCAAGGATAATTTCCTTTTGTTTTAAAGTGATCCAAGGTTCAGATAAAACAAAATATTCACAACCCTTTCCTTTAGCAGGAGTTTTTCCACCTGCTGAACAATGTTTTTGGTTCCTCAAAAGTATATTTCTGTTTTCATGCTTCTCAGACAGAAGCTGCTACGGCATGGCACCAAAAACCCTTTCTTTGAAGTAGCCTGAATAAGCACTGGGTGCTTAGCGCTGACAGTTCAGATTCAGAATGCTGATTCTTCCAATACTACACGATCTCTTCATGTAGCCCAGCATCTAGAAATCAGTACAAAGCTGACATCGTGAAGTTAAATTGCTGACAGATTTGAATCTTGATTGGAAACCAGAGGGGAGACAACTAGGTAACTAATCCCTGTGGGGCAAGAGATGTTTTGGTGGAGCTATATTAAAACTAACTTTGTTCCAGCAGTGTTTCCCTTTGTACCAAATGGTGACAATAGCCAGCAAGCTGGAATTCTGAAGGCATCTGGCATGTAGGAGGGCTCGTCCTGAGCATGCCTCCAGCACCAGTTATCTTCCATCTTCACTGAAAGTGGTTGCAGATGCTCCACTGTTGACTCAGTGCTTTCTTTCCATTATACTTTCGGACTCCAAATGCTAGAAAGGGCAAACTTTTAAATTTTACATGGAGCTTGATGAGGTTTTTGCTTGCACAAGCATAATGTTTTCTTCTTTTCCTAGGAGTGATTAATGTGGATAGTATCCAGAACCACTAGAGTGGATGAGAGCTTTGAAAGATTTTTTTGAAGGGATTTAAGAGTCATGAGTCAAGAGTGGAAATAACACTTCTGGCACTGCTGCCTTTCCTGGCTGCTGGTGGTGTCTGCTCGCCTCTCCTAGATCTCGGCTCTCCCATGCTTGGCTCAAGTTTCTACTTTCTTCTGATCAGCACTCGAGTTTTGAACAAGTACTTTTGGGAACTTTTGGAAGCATTTTAACTTTTCAGGCAGACTAGTGTTTGCTTTTTGTGTTGGACTTTAAAACTGTGGCAGTGAGGATACAGGTGCTAATGGTCATCTTTGGCCAGTGTGAGGAAATAAAATTTTAAGTGCAGCATAAACAGTACATTGTGGTTACAAGTAGATGAGGGCATTTCTTCAGATGAGGGCAGTTGTTTGTGAAGATTAAGTAAAAGAAATGTTAGTTTGCTTGGCTGGTTCTTTTTTAAAAACATTCATAGAACGGAGTATCCTTTTGCATAGTGTTCTTATTATGGTTTGAAAATGATTTTGTAAAAGTGATGCCACAGGGCCCTTGCCTTAACCAGTAACAAAAATTATTCATAGATAGAAGGATTCTTTAGGATCCATCCAGTTTAATTATTAGAGTACAACAGCACATTTCTTCCTTGTTTCCCACCTGCCTGTAATAGTTCTCTTGAGGTCAAGGCATCCATGTTCTTAATTTTTGTTGTATTTTATGTGTGGTTATTCTGTGCTCTGGCTCTGCTGCAGAGACGAGGTAATGAATCTGCCCCAAACAGAATTGCATCTGATCTAATTCCTACTGCATCTTCTTGCTGTGTAAACCCATCAGGAAGTAGGAAAGCACTTCTGGACTGAACAGGTACGTTAGTCTAGTGGAAGCTTTGAAACCCTGTATTTTCAAGTCCTCCTTAATCTTTGTCATGAATTTGTCAGCTTCAAGATGTTTTACATCTGGTTCTATTTGTCAGATTCCTTTCAAGTGTTCAGTTTTTTGTGATTATACCATCTGTGATAAAATGGGCACTAAATCAAATACTACATAAAGATGCATTGTCTGTTCAAAGCTATACTAGAAATGGAATATTTTGTATTTCATATCTTCGGTCTATTTTGGGTTTAAGTGAAATTTTATAGACTTTTAAGAATTTGTGTTTATACATAAAACCCCAGAATGTTATGACACAGAATCACAGAGACTCTGTCCCTTCCACCTCCCTTCCTGAAAGCAGATAAGTCAGTGTTTCATTTCAAAGCATTTTTTATCTAATTGAGATTTTCCAAGCTCACAAAATTTGGCAGAAAACAAATCAAGTTTTTTTATGGTTCCTGAAGGCAAATGACTTTCTGGTAAACACTCCAGTGTGTCATGTGCTATTCAACATGGGAGGTGTGCATCAAAAAGATGTTGAAAACTTTCTTGCTTGACCTCTTAACTCTTCACCAGGTCAACTTTTCCTCTGGCTTGAATCTGGTGAAATCCTTCTGTGTTTAAGCACAGCAAATAAATACATGGTAGAGTGATACTTCCTTACTCAGTGCATGCTGTGACCTTGCCTGCCTTTTTTGAAAACAAGTTCTCCTGGCTTCTAGACTTCATAGCATGCTGTATGAAATGTCTAGTTGCTACATGTTCACCTGCTCAGAAATGAGAGGCTGTGCACTCCATGGTGAACGGGCTTTTAATTTGTATACCCAAGGGAACCGATTATTTCATCTGTTTCGTGCTCAGGCATGGAAGGGCAGCACACCAAAACAGTATAAATTCTCAGGTCTTCCTTTTCCCTTAAAAGCTGTCTCTTGCTATGCTACTTTGGTGCAAGTAGAGTTCTTCCAGTTCCTGGTAAATAAAGAAGACTGTCCCAAATTTGTCAAAACAAATGTTATGGTTTATCATTGAACCAGCATAATTTCTTATTATTTGGAGGTGTAATATTGCTATATTATAAACAAAGTGAGGAGTTGGATGGTCAAAGGTTAACATGAATCACTATTAGGAAAACTGTGGATGACAGTTACCATATTTGACTTTGGGAAGAGTTGCTGCAACAGGTCTTTAAGGAAGAGAAAATATTGCAAACCTTTGCTTTGCCATTGCTTATTTAGTTGGAGTGGTAATGCTAAATGATTAGGGAAGGAAACCGGCCGTGTGATGCATCTTTTAAGAAACATCACCAAATCACTGCTTTGAAGAGGGAGGTTATGTTTCAGTAATGTTCATAATATCTCTTCATTAAGTATTAAGCTTATATTATATGTGTGGATTCATTCACTTACTGAGAAAGTGTTTGAAAGTTTTCAATTAGTGATGACAACAAAAATCCCCACTCTTCATTTTCAATGACAGTCTTCAATTTTCAATGACAGTCTTCAGTGGTGTTTTGAATGGACAGCTTCTCTTTTAAGCAAAAAAAAATAATCTAACCTTACTTTAAATGCAGATAAAGTCAGAATCTTTCAATCCACTTCTGAATATTTGTCATATAAATTACATGACATCATCATACCTCAGGTTTCCCCAAGGAGATACGTAGGTTGCAGTCAAGTCATGCTTTGATTTCTATCCCTGAGAGTTGGCTAGATGGGGTTTCACTCCTCTTACTGGAAGTTTTTGGAAACCTATTCTCTACCTTTTCCATGGACTGGTTTCCTGGTTTATCTTTCCTCTCACTATCCCCCTTTGAAGGGCTTCCAGGTAATCCATCACTCTCCCAGCCCCAAGCTGAGTGTCTCACAGGACAAGGTTTGTTGTCTGGGATTTGGGTGTCTCACAGGACACTGCTGGGTACAGGGTTTATTGTTGGGATTTGTGTGTCTCACAGGACACTGCTGGGTACAGGGTTTGTTGCTGTGGTTGGTATGATGTGGCTAAGCTGTGGTGGGCCAGCTCTGGCCAAATGTCAGGTGCCCACCTCAGCAGGGCCAGGCCACACTGGGCAGCAGCTGGTGGGGGGTGATAATGGGGACATCTCTTACTGTGTACAGTCACAGGAGAAACAGATTCCACATGGGGAAAATTGACTTCATTTCTTGATAATTACAAGACATTCGGGTGATGAGAAGCAAAGGCAAATGAACCCTGTTGCCGCCTGTTTCTGCCCCTTCAGCCTCACCTTGCCCCCACTCCTGGTGCCCAGCAGCATTTTCCCGCCTCAGCCCGTGAGGCGCCACCTGAGGGGCTCAGAGGGGCAGCAGGAACCGGCCAGAACTGGCTGGAACCAGCCAGAACCAGTTGTCAGCCACCTGAGGCAGCCCTGCGCTCCCCTCACACAGACCCTCGGCCCTGCTGCTGCCCCAGGGACCTGCTGCTGCCCCACATCCCACCTTGGCCTGTCCAGGCTGTGTTTGGAAGCGGCCCTGGACAGCTTGGATACAGAAGACACTGCCAGTGATCAGGGTGTCACCTTCAGCCAAAGAGACACGACACCTTGGGGCTCCCCTCATGCCTGCAGGCCGGGGAGCTGAGAGCACACAGGTGAGGATGTCCCAGCTGCCATTTGGGAGTCAAGGGACACCTGGAGGGGCTCCTGGGGAGCTACGCAGATGGGGGCCGATTTGGTGATGAGTTGCCCCCATCCCCTTCCTTCCCTGGGTGGGATAGGGTTCCTGAGCACCATGGTTTGGGGTTGTGGACAGTGTGGGAAGCTACTGCCCGAGTCATCCGGAAAAGGAGAATGCTGGCCCTGGCAAGCAGAGCGAAGCAGGAGCAGCAGTGCACTCAAAGCACCCACAAAGTGAAGTCCTTTCTTAAAATTGTGTAGAAGAAACAGGCTGATTATAAACATGTATGTCATCAGGCAGCATGGTCCCCCTGATCCATTGTATCCATGATGAGGTGTTTCATAGCAGGGATTTGGGTCTGCTGTTCCTCAGCAATATATTGTCTCTGTGCTGGGTCATCCTGAAAGCCTTTAGTGGGTGACCACAAAGGGACTGTAGAGGATATTTAAGTCACCTAATGCTTGATTTTCCTTACTTTAAAATGCTTCTTTGTAGCCAGGTGTATTTTGAGTTGCATATCTGGCCTCATCCAAGGTTTGTCTTGTCAGTGTGAGTGCAAATTCATGAAACCCAAGAACACCCTGTGGAGGGTGCCCTGCACTGCTGCGTGCTCAGCCTCTAGCTCTGGGTGCTGCCTGGGCAGAGGCAGGGTGTGTTTGTGTAGGATATTTTGTGGTTTGAAATTACATTCCAATGCAATAACTTGTGATGTATTTAGGGCTTGGCTTTGGGAGAGAATCATATATTGTTCACACAGGTCAAACGTCATCCAAATCATAGTTTAAAAAAGATGTTTTTGTAAGAAATAGGCTGATGAAAATAATTATTTTCTAGCTGTATAAATCTGACTTTGCATCTTTATCCCTTAATCTGTGTTCATTTGTTACGTTCATGTGAATACAAAAAAAAAGCAATAAAAAAAAAGTCATTATTCAAATTCACACCGCTTTAAAACGTCTGATAAAGGAATTGCTTTCTGTTTAGTCACCGATATTTTTGTGAGGCATGGGAGGAAAGGCAATAGCAGATGGCAGAAATTTCCAGCAACATGCAGTGCGAGATGTAAGCCGAGCTTTCCCAGCTCCCCTGCTGTGGCAGCAGATGGAGGGCTTGGCACGGCGGGAGGATGCTGCTTTTGCTCGCTGCTGCGAGAGCCGGGCTGAGCCGGGTGAGCCGAGCTGGCAGAGCTGAGGGCACCGAGACAGCCAGCGCTGAGGGAAGGGTGACAAGTGCCAAGGGAGGGGATGCCAGAGGCACCGCAAATATGTAGCAAAGATCCTAATGATGCTTTGAGGTTTTCCTCTCTCTAGACCTTTTATGGCTTTTTCCAAGGCAAGAGATCAGAATTGTGGCTTTCCCCTAGTCTGTGCCTGTGTGCAAACACACACATAGAGATGGCATTTCTGCATTTTGTAAACCTCTGCAGAACATTCACAGACTGTTTTTTCTGAAACAAAACAAACTTAAATATAGGAGAGCACATCATTCAGTTAACTGCTGTCACCTGCACTAGCCATCAAGTGCTGAAAATAATGCTTAATTATTCTAGAAAAGGAATCCACTTTCTTCTTTTACAACTTTGACTTTTCAGTGCTGGTAGAAAATTTTATGAAAGCTTATAGGTTAGTTGTTATTCTACACCATGCATTGTGTTTTCTTGCAACCTATTTTCATTCAACCCATCCAAAATGATAAGATTTTACCACTCTTTTTAAGTGATCTCTGTAGAGCTGATACTTGAAATTGTCATTCCAATTGTCAGATTAGTATGTGCAAATCTTTGCTTTCTATGTTTGTGTTGATGAGGTTGTTTATTTTAGGGACCATAAAATTTAGGGACTTCGCATTTACTCTGGTATGATGCAATGAGAAGTACATATCCACAGTGCTGTTGGACTGCTCTATGGGAGGCTAAAAAGCTCCTGGAGTCAAAGAGAAGTACCAGAAGAAGTGCAGCTTTTATTTAGGTCAGAAGCAATAAAAGAAACCTCCATGAGTGTTACTGATTAATCATTAAAATGAGAGATTTTTTTCGTCCTTTGTGTGTGAAGCTACAGTATGCTAAAATTGCACATGGTGGGTTAGTACAACACGCTTAGATCTAGCTGAAGTTTTGTCTGAGGACAGTGACCTGTGAATTGTATTTTTAAATCTGTCACTGAGCTTTCAGGTAGCCAGAGGCACTGTCTGGACTCTTCAGGAATCATGAAGCAGCTATATTTTATGAGAGTCTGGAAACCTGCCAGTAACAGCCTCACAAACAGCATCCTTTGGCCAAAATTATAAACTTCATTAGGTCAGTATAACTCCACATACTAAAGAATTTTAAATGTACTTTTACAAGACTACATAAAAACATCACATGCCGACAGGATCTACAAGTAGTAAAGACTGAGGAAAATCATCTAGTGCTTATTAAACTTTCTTTCATCTTCTGAATTAGGTAGCTGAAGTAGGTCAGTGTTGTTGACAATTACTCTCTTACTTTTTAACCAAAGAGAAGTTAAACATTCCATAAACAGTTTAGAAATTTATATTATGAATAACTCTCCATTTTTTATGGTTTGCAAAATTTCAGTAACTGCTGCTTCATTTTTTGTATTTGAACGCATAATTTCTGGAACTTCGGGAAGGCAGGAGGTGAGGTTGGAGAGCTAATGACTAATGTTTTATTTCTGTTAATGTATTGTGTTCTAAATAACTTTAGCTTTGGTCACAGGGAGAAATCACAGGGTTGGCGGTGTTCTGAGTATATTTATCCCTGCTCTTCTCAGTGGTGAGTATTGAGTCGAGTGTCTCACTGGAGATGGGAGATTTTGACCATCTCCTGTGTTTATTAAAAAAAGCTTAAGGTAGATTAAGTGTTGTGATAAAAGTTGATTGTGAGAGTTAATAAAAATGTGTGGGGACTTTGTTTTTGTTATGTCTTAAACCACTAAAAGTTACTGTTTGCATGCATGTGTGATTTTAATGCAGGTTTCTGCACTTATTACTGTGTTACTTTTTGATTTGTTTTGAATTTAAAAGATTAGCAAATCATTCATCTTTAGAACACCTGAATTTGCAAAGAGGAAGATCTTCCTGACAATACATGAGAAATGTATTTGTGCTCCCAAGCAATACAAAGAGGAGAGATAAAATTTTTATAACTGCAGTGTACTGCACAAATATGCACTATTTTATTTAAATTAGTTTTATTTTTAGTACAGTGCAGCTGTATATACTGAAAAAAATCAACTTTGTAAAGCTCTTCTTGGTAGAAGCAGGCAGTGGCATACCTGGGAACAGCTGCTCTGGGGTAGGTCAAGGTCCAGCTGGTCCAGGACTGTGCTGCCAAGAGCCATGAATATCTCCTAGGATTTCCTCTTGGCTTCAGCAGATTACACAGAGGCTTCCACACAACAGGATCAGCTTTCATTTTGATAGTTATGTGGACAACATGGAAAAAAGATCCACCTTTTGATTTTCTAAATGCCTTTTTTATTCTGAGTGCATGTGGGGTGAACACAGTCTGGGTGCCTGCCTGGGGCTGCCCAATTACCCTTTTTTGGGTGTCCATCCCTCTCTGCCTGTTTTGCAGGCAGGGGCAAATTTCCATTGCTGCTCCAACCCTAATGTAGCTTCTTCAAACTCCTGGCTTAGTGAGGCTTGGGGTCTATGGTCTGGGGGCTTTTGTGGGGAGCTTTTTTCTTTGTCTGTTTAAAAATGTTAACCCCATTTGTTGTTCTCCCCTAGTATTGCCTGAGTAAAATACATGGGTGAATATGGTACGTGGGGAGACAATGTTATCCACAGGTTCCTGTCTTGCCCATGCAGTAAAAAAGAGGTGAAACAAGCACATTAGTGGCTCAGGCCATGTTCCTTCCTTGATGATACAGGTTGCAACATTCTACGCATGAGTGATGTTCTTGTGGTACCATGCTTGGAAAATGATGGGTTTTCCTTTATTTTTTTATTTTTTTAAAATAAGAGTTGTTGGTTTTGTTATTGAACACTACAGGTTTCCTTTAAAGTTCTCAAAGAAATCTCCAGGGCTTCCCCTTCCCAACAAATGCTGCCCTTGATTTACTATTGACTTCTGTGGGATGAAGTCATCAGGAGAAAGTTCTTGTTTTCTTGTATCTTTTTTCCTACACAGCCTTGTTGCTTTATTAAATTCAGCAGAGTAGACATGTGTTTTAAGTCTGATGGCTTGTGTTACATTAAGAAATCCTCCCACAGCACAGACCTTTCTAAACATTGTTTGTTGACTTACGGGAACAAGATAGTTCCTGTTGCTGGGGCTGACATTTGTGTGTGGCAGCCACATGCTCTGGGAGACTCTTTCCTGTTTGCAGAGTGAAACGCACAACAACAAAATAACAATGTTGTTGTCTGAGAGGGGTGTTTCTGTGTTCAAATGCATGGCAAGGCAGCTCTGAAGAGGCAGCACTTCTATTAAAAAGAGGTGTTTGCAGATGGGAGGCTTCTGAGAGCCTTGCACGCAAGTGTTTGAGGGTGTGTGGTACATCTGTATCCATCAGCCTGCCTGAAAGAATCAAAGCAGGAACATCCAACTGAAAATCAAACAGGCACCCACTTTCTCTCATCCTAATCTGCATCCATCAAAAAAGAAGGGAAAACTTGGGCAGGGGGGTATTTGGCATCTCCCCAAGGAATGCAATAATCCCAAATGTGGTGTGAGAGCGCTTCACGATCGCACACTGGCACTAGCTCCCGGTGGTTGCTGCCAGTTTCCCTCCCACGCGTGCTCAGTCTCAGAGGTAATGTGAGTCTGGATGCTGGACAGTTAATCAACTGCAGGAAAATTAACGTTTTGGAGACTGTTCTTCTGTTGTGAGGTGCTTTAATAAAACACAGCACGCTGCCACGTATTGCATACTGCAGGACCCTGCTGGCTGCCTGCTCTGTTGGCTTTTGGTTTTGGCTGGGGTTTAGCATTTCTCCATGTTGAATTTCTCCTGTTGCCATTGC